TACAAAATTTTTCATGAAGCCAAAATGATTTACACAAAATTACAAAAATAACAAATAAATTAATACTGTATCCAATTCAAAGAAAGCTCACCTGTTATAACAGAAAACTAAAACTAATATATATACAAAAACTATATACAATATTTATAAATTATTAGTAAAACATTAGTTAAACAAATTGAATATTAGAATAAGTAGGGGAGTGCTGTCCAGCCACTTTACAATTGAACGTTTAAATTGAGTCGTTGGTAGTAGAGGAATAACGGAAATTAGGAGACTGTTGAAGGTGCATTCAGAAAGGTTTGATCCTAATTTTAAAAAAGGGGAGGTGTTATTGACGAAAAATATTTAGTATGTTGTCATAAATTTTTGTAAACTGATTGGATTGTATATCTGTATTCATAGTGTTCTGCGTTTTTATATTTAATGTTTCTAGTATTCATCTTTTATTTCTGTTGGGTTCTACAGCTAAAATACGAAACATCAAAATTTATTGAATGATTTAGATTAATTCTCTGTTGGGATATTGAATTTTGTCTATTTGTAACCTCATTGATTTCTGTGATTTGTTATTCTCTGTTTGGCCAATATAACTCAACTGACAATCATTGCATTGAAGTGCGTACACTGTATCTATCATATCATGTTTAGGTATTTTATTTTTTACATTTCTTATAAGATTCTTCTTAATTCTTGTACTTTTAATGTTGATACTGTTCTTTAATTTAAACTGTTGTCGCAACGGAGGGGTCTTTTTTCAAAATGGAATAATACGTTACGAGAAGTTTGAATAGATTCACTGGAATGGTTGGCTACACTGTTGGGCGGAAATCTTAAAATTTTATTGACCAGTTTAATATATTTAAGAATGAATTTCTCAGGGTAATGGTTGTCCAAAAGGATTTGTTTAACTATATACAGATTATCAGTATGAAACTGATGTAATACTTCTGTCAACTAAATAATAGATAACTCCAATTTTCATCCAGGTTTGATGACCAGATAAAAAAACCAATATAATCGCTGAAAAAGTAGGTTTAGTATACAAATTGGTTTTTAATTCGTTATCATGTCTAAAAGTTGTAACATCAATGAAGTTAATCCAATTACGTTTTTCCTTTTCTTATTCAAATTGGATAGATTTATTAAATGTATTGAAGAGTTCTAAAATTAATGGAATTTTCTCCTCTTCTATAATAATAAATGTATTGTCCATGTACCTGATATAATGAATTTATTTTTTTGTTCAATATAACGCATCACAATTTCAGAGAGCTTAATGGGCCTACAATAGGACATCCTTGTTTTGGGGAATAAATTTTGTTGTTAAACAAATTTTATATTAAAAACCTAACACAAATCATTATTTCTTGTTCAGGAATTGAGATTTTAGATGAGTTTTCTTTCTAACTTTGTTGGATTGTCTCTAAAATTAGTTGATGGGGAATCAAAGGGAACATTTATATAATATCAAGTGACATCATTCTGCATTTCTTTTCCATTTTTATTGTGCTCAATTTCAAAATCAGTTCATAACTATTCTTAATGACATATGGGTAATCAACATTATGTAAGGGTTTGAGAATAGCAATGAGGTATTTGGATAGTTGGTATTCAGGAGTCCCAATGCCTGTGACAATGGGATAACCTTGTTTATGTACTTTCAAGAAACCATATGCTCTAGGTAAATTCGCTATCGTAGGGTAAATCTTGTAATAAGGTTTTGTATCTACGTATTCGTTATTTCTCCATCGTTTTATAATTTGTTGTGTCTGTTAGATTCTGGTTACCTTTTCCAAAAGTAATTACATCATATGTATTGCTATCAGTAAGTATTTGTTCAAGTTTGTTAACATAATCTACTTGATAAATGGCAGCATGTGCACCACCTTTAATCACACCGAATGAACAGAATGGCTGGATTTTGTTGCATAAATTTCTTTATGACATTTAGTTTTTTAAAAATTTCAATTTGTTGTTTGTTCAATTTAATATTCTGATTTAAATATTTATTCAAATGACTTGCTACATCAAGTCTAACTTTATTTCTAGATTGTTCAGGAATTTTAAATATTGAATTTTCAAATTCCTTAATAATAATAATAAATGTAATTAATTTCTTATCTTTATTAGTAGTGGGGAAGCTGAAATTCTTGCCCATATTAATAATATCCACAACCTGTTGAGGTATGTCTGTATTAGTAAGGGTAACAAATTTCCCATAGAATAAGTCTATCAAATTTATTGTATCTCAAATTTTAGGTGTTCCAATAAATTCGTTTCAAATGGGTTAATTGGGTTATATATAAAACATATACAAAGCTTAGGGCCCATTAAAAACTTTCGGTTATTTTCAATCTTATTTAAATTTTTAGGAAGATTTCTCAACTGGCAATGTTTATCTGCAATTGCTAAAGCTAATATTTGCATCTGGTATTTATGTTGTTTTTTTTAACAAAAATAATTCATATTTTCATTGTTAACAAAGGATATCTGTTTCATACTATTACTAATAAAATTTGGGATGATTTTAGGTCTTCTACATTCAATTAAAAAGAAAACAGGACAGCACTCCTAATTTTAATATTCAAATACGTTTCTCTATAATTTGTAAATATTGTATATAGTTTTTGTATATATTAGTTTTAGTTTTTTGTTACAACAGGTAATCTTTCTTTGCATTGGGTACAGTATAAATTTATTTGTTATTTTTGTAATTTTGTGTAAATCATTTAGGCTTTATGAAAAATTTTGTAATTAAATTTTCAGTTGTACTTGATGAGGGAGACAAAACAGTCTCCATAACGTCTTAGTGATACAAAATAATACATAATTTTATTATGTGAAAAAAGCTTAGGCACTTATCATTGTTGTTCATAATTTAAAATAAGGATCTGAACAACAAATATATACAAATGTTACGACTTCTCGATTGCTTTAATGATTAACTTTCACGCGTTTTGGCGAAGAACGAAGCCAAGAACCCTTTGACGAAACTTTTTTATTAACGTGCAGGCATAACTGCTCATCATTATAAGAATAATCTGAGACGTTTTTCGCACACGAAATTTGCAGCCTTGTACGATCCTCTCCATGCTTACACTTTTAAAGTTTTGTGATACGCGCTGATAATCTGTCTCGACCCTCAATCCATCTCCCAACAACCAACTCTACCTCGCGATTCCGAAGTAGCCCGATTTACGTAGTACGCTCGCGCATCATCGAGTTTCGGAAAAACGCATCGTTGAAATTTGACAACCCCTTATGTATGGAGGTAAAAATATACGATTAGCAACAATCTTAATGGGCAATTTCCGAGCTCCTCCATCGCTATACTTAATCAATCAATAATCGTGGCGCGGAAGAGGGAGAAGCAAGAGGCTAGTCGTGGTCAGCCTCAAGAAGTGGCGTGACAGCGCTTGCCCCTACTGCACCGTCCCTCCCCCTCCCAGACAGTCTTCCGACAAGCACGCACGCTCCCACCCCTTCCATCGGAGGGTCATAGCAGAGTGCTAGTAGGAAACCAATTTACTCCACGAGTATCGATCTACAATCGTGACACAATGTAAGTTTCTGAATAACATTGTACGTATACTAATTCCTACTGGGAATTTGTAAACAATGTGGCATGTGAAAATAAATGTAGATGATCAGCTGTTGACAAAAGGTAACACCACTTAAATTATGTATTTACACCTTCCCAAACATTAATACAAAGTGAATCAAAATCTGAAAAATGATTTCTCCAGTTCATCTTAATGTATGACCTGTTACATCTGAGGTGAAATATCCCCATAATTTAGTTATAACACAATCAAATATTACAAAAGTTAAATGAATAAATATTCATTTTTCTCAATGACATGACTTATTTAAAAAAATGAAACTTGTAGTAACCAAACATTGTCCAAATGTGCATTGTGCTTACCGACCAATTTTTAACAATAAGCAACATACGTTCACGTTGCTGATTTTATGTGCTGGTTGCAAAAATATTTGGTCTTTTAGTACCCTAGGAGAATTCCTTAAGAATCATTTACATGCACGTATCTACTTTAATCTTCCATGCACCATGCAATAAAGATATTAGAAACAGAATAGTATATTACATAGGCACAAACTAGATAATGTTTACTTTCCAAGGTCTTCAAAATGTGAAAATTAATTTAAGCAAGAAGAACAAGATATTAAAAGTGCAATAAATAAATAAATTCTACTCTATTAGTTGAAGTACCTTAAAAATAATTCTCACTTCTTACAATATATTACTTTTCACACAAATCGAAGGGCAAATTGTTAAGTTTTTCACTGTACTACAAACAAACACTTTTCAATTTAAACTGTCACTAAGAAACCCTTTGGAAAATATAAATCTTAAATAGTTAACTACCTGACAATAACAAACAAAAGTACAAAGCAGCATTTGAGTTTTTAGCAACTATAAAGGAATCACAATGATTTGGTGCTTTTCAATGTCACTTGTAACTTTGAATTGAACTAGGAACTCAACAAATACACAAATGAAGTTGCAACAACGTGTCAGTAACCAAAAGGTGAGTATCATACAAGACCAAATCATTTTCTAAGCAGCACAACGATACACACGGGGTTGTTGATCTTCATTTTACTAATAAATGTGTATTTCTGTGACATTATTTGCAGAAGCTCTCATTGTTTGCAGGTGGTCTTTGTGACCACCGTAAGGCGTCAAACACGAAACAAAGTCACAATACAGCCACGCCACAACTTTAAAAACTTATAGCACATAATACAACTACAGATTTTATGAAAACAAAGTCCGTAATTAAAATAACATCGCCATCTTGCTATCAAAACGCACAGTGGTTCCACACGAAAATACCAAAATTCCCGAAAATATACGTTTCTTCAACACAAACGACAACCAAAAGGCTTGACAAACACCTATTGCATGAAAACATAAACGGTGGATCATGCTTCAAGCTGCCAGTTATGTGAAATTGACGAGAGTTTATATTCACCTTGTTTGTTGTTGATTGGTGGCGGCTTTGGTGTCTATGGCTACGGCATCAGTTGCTAGCCGACCGCAACACGCACACTTCCCGCGGAGTGATATTATTGTACAGACGTAATTCGTCAAAACAATTTAACCAACCTTGATAACTTATTCACTTTAGACCAAATTTTACCACTTTAATTCAGGAAAGAAAGTGCTTTTGCCCCTTAGAAAGCACTAAAAGTCAAAATGGGAGTTAAACCGATGGATTATTTTACATTCTGGGGTATTATCGTACGTATCTAAGACGTTAATACGAAGTTAATTTTCTCGATTGCATTGGGCGAGCGCTAGAATTCAATGCGAATTTTCATATCCATCATTATAAATAATAATATGAGTTCCGAAAGTGGAATTTAATTTAATTACATAATTATTGGACCGAACTCCTAATTGTTTACCATCTTTCTAGTTTTATACTACACAGACGTAACACGAAAGTGGTATATCTTTGATGAGATCACTGATTTCACTGTGTGGCGGGAACATACGCTTATTCCGAAAGATCCTTCACTTTTAACGCGTAGAACTTTGTACTTTCATCGATTGTATACCTAACCATATTACATCCCTCTCGCCGAGAGAATGAATGATTCTATTTCATAGTCAATTTTACATTTTCCGGTGACTTTTGTTTAATTTACGAACTGAATTTCACTTTTCATTACAGCAACGCTATCGTTACTACTATAACTATCGACTTCGTTCTAAGAATTAAATCTGAATAATATATGCTCTAAAGCATTGCTACTAAATGTCTACAATATTGTAACTCTTCTGTATAAAAGAAATTCTTCCGTAATCTCGAAATTATAGAAGGATGAAGTCAAAAGAAATCAAGCAATTAATTCATCTGCACATTAATAATTATTGTAACCTAAAAATTTCGTTACTGTTCCTTTCTAAAAATTGAAAAACAATTAATTATCCGCTCAAATAGATGTATTAGTCAAATAATTCAGTACCGGTGAAATTTTCCTTAGAAGAACAGTAATAGAGTGTTCATAAGAGAGAAGTGGCCGTTAATAAGAAGTTTGAGAGGAAAAGAGAAAAATCGACAAACGTCTTTGAAAATTATTTGAATTATTCAATTATGTCATGCTCTTTCGAGGTAACATAGTTCAAACATTAATGCAAGTGATCCCTTATTGTGCCCCTACACTATGAAAAAGAGAGACAAAGCAAAAATCAGCCTCCGTCCACCCACCGACCTTATCAGAAATCAAGCACGTACCTTGAAAATCCAGAAATAGGACGACAGTATTATAATATTAAGAAAGCATTCAAAGAATAGGAAACAAGTATATAAACACAGAGTCACGCGAGAAGTGGAAGTTCATAGAAAAGGGGATGGGTTAGTGAACTGGGCTTGTCTGCTGTGCGTCAGCGAGAACAAATCTAGTAATATCAGCTAATATAAATGAAACTACGGTAATTGCCTCTCCGTGTCAATTTCATAGAACGGCTGCTACAAAGGAGTTCAAAACACATTCAAATCTATGAAGAACAGTTTGTGAGTGTAAACATTTTCGCTAGAGAGTGATTCTGTTTGGAGAAATTTACCTACTCTTTTTATTCCAATATGATTTTCTTCTTATGTTAATGAAGTTATATGGCGTGGAAAATGAACGATTATATGTGGAAAAATTCTTGAAATTTCTCAAACAGTCATAAATTATGGACTAATTTATATTTACCAATGTGATTAGCACAGAACTTACAGAGAGTGCTATTCTTACTGTAAACGTGTATTGTAAATAGCCTGGATTTAGAAACTTAGATAGGACATATACGTAATTTAGGTATCACAATCCTACACATGTAATTTTTCAGACGGGTGCATTGTTTATTTTACGCTTGCATTATGAATGGTAACAAAGTTACAACTTTTACCACTTATAATGTAATTGAATGAAACATGTAAAATTAAACATTGAGGTTGGTTTAACATTGTCATATGTACTTCAGGCAATTGTATTGCTCAGAGTTGGAATCAACACTACTTGTCACGGATGTCGGGCGTGTTTAAAATGGTACGAAAAAGTTTACATTTTAGGGAAATCTAATATTTAAAATTAATGTTGTGTCTAATGCAAAGTGTTGTATACACAGAGAACAGTGCTTTTAATGGTTGAACTTACGTCTTGATAGCTGCCTTTGATTTCGAAAGACCCGGTTCATTTCCTCATCAGGGATGGTCGGAGCATTGAACAGATCTGAGCGCATTGTCATATACTCGTGCATCACGTCATCCACTTCGTTCTTAATAACAACATTTTTGTTATGCCAATTGCATCCGAGATTGCGTCGCTTGGAAGACATGTCTTCTCACTTGTGGTAACTTTGTTTCAATAATCGAGGACCGTGATCATTTATTAAAACAATTGAAGTCGTTTTCTGGTTTCATTATTATGCTTTAGTTCGCTGAGTGCCAGTTCAAGACAAAAGGCGGGCCCACTTGCTCGAAAGTATTGAAGTGCATTTCAGCGGTAATTTTTTATCAACTATTTCAGGGATACATAGGGCCTATCGTTTCAAATTAGTGAATCATGTGGATATATCTGCGATACTTCAGTGCGACTTCTAGAATTAAAAATATTCGCATTATGTGTATTGGAATAATAATTCTTAAATAAGTCCAAAAAAATACCCTTCCTAGAATTTTAGATGTATTTCTGCCTCTGATAATTATTCGATTTGGCGGCGCAATTCAAAGAAAATACACGTCATTAGTGTGTGACTTCTGATTATGCATTTTCCAATTGTTGATATTTTAGAAAAATAAAAAAATATCAGAAATTGAGTAGTTGAGTAGACAAGGATGATTTGCAATATAATTATGTGCAAGTGTTGGAACAACTGTTAGTTGCAGTTGATTTCAATTCTTGACAGGATTTAAAAAATTCAATGTGTCAATAAATATTGTACACTTGTGTACAATATTTTGAAATAATATTCAGTGGTAATCAGCATTTGAACTGGAAGTAACTTTTTCAGCTTTTGTGAATTATTTAATAAATTGAGACTAATTTATGTAAATGTGTTTAATCCAACTTTGTCTGTTCAGGAAGACTTGTATGTTGACAGCAGATAAAATAAATTATAAACTATGAAATTATACACATCTTATAGCTTAGCTGGAAAAAGAATACTGTATGTTCTGGATTAAATTTCTGAATCTTTACTGAACATGAGAAATTCACACAGAATATCAAGTGAGTCGCAGGCATTGTCATTCAAAAGAAGCATATAGGAAAATTGCTCTTTTGCTAAAGGAAAGGTAATTTGATTGTAGTACATGTGTCATTAAGTTATGTCTCAAATCATACTTTATGGAATAATTTCATTTAGGAATGCTATGGCAGTAATTTACATTCTATAAGGGTATATATTGACATTATTAGTATTCTTTACAATCTATTTCTTATTCAACAGCCCTTTCAGTTTGTTTCAAATGTGATTATGTAATAACAACTATGTCCCATCACATTCTGTACAATAACTAGAGACATTTTCCTATACAACAATAGTAGCCTTTTTCTATTGGAAACATGTTTTCATTAGTGACATTTACAACTTAGAGGATATCTTTTCCAAGGACACATAAGAAAGTAGAAAAATGGCACAGACCATAGCGATGTTTGTAAATATATAATATATAATATATATGTATGTAGCATATATTTTTTTATAATGAGCCATGCAGTAGCAGAGAGATGGACTGCTCATTTCTGATCTGCTTTTTCAAGGCAGACATCACCCTTTATCAATCTTTTCAAAATTTATTATTTTAAATACAATTGTTTCTAAATGCTTTGCACTTACTGAATAGAAATTGGACTGATAAAGGAGTAGGGAATGACTAGTAAGAAGAAAATTTTGTATCACTGAAAGGAAGGGACCAAAGGGTTTGGAAAGTTCTGGCAGTTCATCATGGCTCAACTAGTTGTCAGCAAAGAGGATTGACCCCTTTTAACTGAGAATGGTTTGCCAGATTTGTTTCAAACCTTGATTCCTTATTAAAATAGAAGTACTTGTCTACTCATTGTTAGTAAAATATTTAATATAATTACTTTTTAAAAATTAGTACTTATTTACACTTTTATTATTGGCATCAATCAGTTTGCTTTCTATTATGCACTAATAATGAAAAATAATGTCCTATACTTCTGCATGAACACAAGTTTTGGTAAATTTGATAGCAGTAGTTAGAATCTACATTATGCAGCAGTAACAATTCAATAATATTGGAGATGAAGGTGATTTAGCATCTGATGATTACATGAAGATGAGAATAAAAATGATAATTATAAATGAGTAGAAATACAACGTAACAACAGTTTTAACAATTTAATTTATGTACAGTTTAAACAGATTAGTGATTTTAGTCTGCCATATTAAGAAATACAGTTTTTTAATTTTCTATCAATAGTAAGATGATTGATCATACAGGTTTATGCCATTAAAACAGTTTCAATAACTTAAAAACATAAAGAACAAATCATAGCAAACCAGTCTCAGACTATTTTATGTATAATATTTCAGTTTGTCATAACAACAGTTCACTAAATGAAGAAAGAAAGAAATTCAAGTACATAACTAAATAACCTCAAAAATCACAGCTACCATATTTCTTTGCTCTCAAATAAGTATACAATATACACTATAACCATGATATGTGCACAGAATGTTAATGTAAGCTTTGTTGACATTGAAGATAGGAAATCTTGTTTCCCCTGATAACTTATTTAACCACAAGTTATACACTTTGCGCTTTACCACCTTATATATTACAATAATTATTATTAACAAGCACTACTGTAGTTCATATCTTTTGTGTAGTGTACATAGACTGCTGTGCATTCATCAGCAACACATTCAAAAACAAATGAACTATTAAAATGAATGTAAAATATGCACACCTAAAGCTTTTTTTTATGAGAATCACCACTATTATAACATTCACATATACCTTGCTTTTGTCATTTGCACACCCACACGCTATCTTTTTACAAAGATTTTTCAGAATTTTGTACAAATTGTATCTTATGCTTAGTATGCAAGTTTCTTATATAAATACAAAGAAAACTCTTTCATTGCTGATGCTAATTAAACTTGATTAAATTATTATTTTTTGGGTTGGATACCTGTCTGCATACAATAACATAATAAAATAATAATAATAATAATAATAATAATAATAATAATAATAATAATAATAATAATAATTGAGGAATTGTGTGTTATAACCATTATAAGTAAATGAAGAAAATTAATTATTATTTTTTTAATGAAGCATTATAAAAATTCTTACGGTAGTCCTGCTAATGGTATTGCTGCCAACTGAAGTGCATCATAAATATTAAGGAAAATGCAAAAGATTATTATGTTGATTCTCTAATTTCATGAATTTTATGGTCTTGGATTTGAATTTTTTTTTATTGTACAGAGTTAATATAATAATTTTATGTAGAATAAGGAATGCTTTATTGCCAATAGTTTCATGAATTCTTTTTTTTTTATTTTTTTAATTTTTAGGTATTTAGTTTTGAATGTTTCTGTAATCATACATAAAGTTTGGTTTTGAAGTTTTACCAATAATATTCCTCTAATAAATAACAGTTGCATTTCCAATGTAATATTCATTTTTATTGGCTAATTATTGAAAAAAATTGTTTTGAGTGTTGGAATAAGAATAATCCTGCATGAACACATTGAACATTAATCAATAAGTAGACTTCTTTTAGAATAAGAAATAAAAAAGCAACAACAATGGTTATGACAAACATTTCCTCTAGAAACATTCACTTTCACTAAAAATATACATTTTTTGAGTGATTTAATGAGACATTTACACATTTTGCATCACTTGAAATGTAATTAATGTCATTACAATCTTTAATTGTTCTATCACGGAGCACTACAAAGTTCTGTTATGTATACTGTATTCAGATATTTTGGTAAAAGTAAATTTTTTCACTTTGAGTTTTACAGGAGAAATTTATGTAAAGTGATTTCACAGCTATGTCTTTCATAAAAATGAGTTTTAATGGAAGAATTTCTGTCAGGAGAACACTTTATAGGATTCATAAAATATGACAATGTTTTAACACTCTTTTGTACGCTTAGTCTTAAATGGTATTTTAAATAATATCTGTTTAAGCTATCTTAATCATTTGTATTTGAGAAAAGTAACATAAAAAGTAAGAGTGTTATTCATATTGACATTATGAATAACGTCACATTTTATCACTGACATACTTCTATGGCAAAATAAAATTTTGTGAATAACCACTGTACAAATTGTTTGTCATACAGGCAAATTTCACAGTCATATCAACTACATCAGCAATGTTTGAATTACTTATACTGATCTAGATTCAGATAATGGTTGCACCATTGAATGAACAATTTTCAAGCAAGTCAAATCAGATCTCAAAGGTTTTTGTAAAGACAAATTTCAATACACAATATATTCTTACACTGTGAATGTCTGCTTAAAGCTTCAGTTAGCCGGCAGTGATGAAAGTAACTTATATTTAGTACCGATTGTGTAGACATTGCAAAATATAGACACACAAGTCTCATCAACAACAAAATTCACATCAAGCAAAGTACTGTTTTGAAGTAAGATCATTCTACTCTCCTTTTTATGCAAAAATCTGCAATTCATTAATTCTTTTCTGAGGTGATTTTTTGTTATATTCAGAAGAACAAATTATATCACTTCTATGAATGAGTGTTTTGTGAGGATATGATGCAATTTTTCCTTCTGAAGAGTCGTTAGGGCATAAGGGTAAAATTATTTTTATATTGTATTAAGTATGAAGATGATTTGTCATGCCAGATGACGAGGTTGAAGGGATTTAGATTATCATATTTTTGGTTTGTTACTTGTTTATACTTTGTAAGTGATTTATTATTGAAAACGATCAATGATTTTCAAGCACAGAATGACATTCACAATTAATTCATGTGCATGAAATTCATTGAAAAGAGAAAGCAGAGCTGTTCATGAGACCATCAACATGTCAGCATAAATACTATGAAGGTTTGTAAAATTTTTCAAAGAGATACATTTTTCTTTTGAGAAAGGTCAAATAATAATAATTGTAATTTTAGAAACTTAAAAACATGCTTCAAAACAGACATAGCTCATAATGTAAGCTTGCTTCCCTAGCACCATTTGCAAGTAGCTTGCCCTGTCAACAGCATCAACACTTGATGCAGACCTAGTAGTAGCATCAACATATGGATTAAAGAGAGCAGATTATACCATAAAGAATTATTGATTATTACAGAAACAATGTATGTGATTCTTTAATAACAAAAGTAGCAATAACCTGTATGTACTTTTTGTAGCTAATTGTTCTATCAATAATCTAATACTGTATTTATTTATTACAGATACATTCAAACACACTTTTTATGTTTTTTCCCCTTTCATCATTTATGCACAGGAACCTCTATGTTTTTATGGAAGTTTAGCATGGGAGGGAGTATGAATGAACATATTTCAAAAAAATGGCTTGATGAATATCCAACAGGCCTTGTGTTATTTTCTGGAAGATGAAAGTTTAAATGACATTCCTTTACTTTCAACTAATACATCAATGCTTCAAATGTGTCTAATGAATACCTGGAATACACTAAAGAAAGCTTAATGGTACCTCATAAACAAAAACACTTTCATTAATTTTCTTACACTCTTTTGGATGGTGAGGAATATTACCATGTTTTGTTTAGTGATAATCAGATTTGCTTTTGCAAATTAGGAACACAAATTAAGCTCATAAATGTAATAAATCATAACTTTAATTGCATTTAATTAATAAAAACAAAATAGGACTTTTTCATTCTGTAAGACATTGTGAAACCCACAAGCCATTCTATGAAATTATGCTCACTGAGCTCTAACTTGGAAGTGTTTATGATGGTTTCTTAGTATCCTGGACTGAGAACAATATCTTTCTTAATATATGGCAGTGATGTTGCATGTGTACCTGGCAAAAACACTTGTTCTTTTATCTGAAAAGCTTTTCTTTTGCAGTCTTTCAACACTTTTCCAAAACTACTAGTTAACACAATTGTTACATTCCTAAACCTGTATATCAGCAGAAAGGGAAATGGAAGTGCTGATCTCGATTAACTGAAATATTTATGCTCTGAAAATGATATGATGATATCAGTTGAATTGACATAAATGTATGCCACTTGCTGCACTGGCAGTGATGATGTCAAAACTAATTTGTGTGATTGTTTTAGATATAAATCTTAATGTAGAGACAAAAGTGGAGTAAAGAGATCAAACTTTTGAACATATTTACATTAATAAAGGAAGACACTGACAAAAAACTTGCACAAAGATAAATAATGGAATTTAAGTAAAACTTGGAAGTATCTTATATATTGGAAACTATCAGAGGAATGATTGTGAGAATTAATTAAACAAAATAATAAACATTTGTTAAGTTACATTAAATAAATTTGTGGAATAATTGGTTCCAACCATGAGATGACACTTCAAATACTTTCAGGCAGCTTGAGCACATTCTAAATAAGATCAGCACTACTCACTAGCGCCCACAAGGAGTCCACTAACACATCAATAGAGCATGCCTGGCCTGTCCTTTTCTAGGTGCACTTTTGTTATTGCTTTGAAACAAACATTAAAAAATCTGCATGTCAGAAGCTCCATTCATCAGGCCATCTGTCCAATGATATATATAATTCAATTGAATTCCTTAGAAGATTGAATAATTCTTGAATACTCTTCTTCTGCTACAGGAAAGTTCATTTATCCTCCATACAAGCTTCATTGCAGGCACATTCATTATTTCATTCACATTATACATTCTCATCATGTATTCACTGATGTGTGTTGCAACTATCAATATTTTGTTATCATTTTCCCCAGTTGCTCAAAATCCAAGTTTGAACTTCCTAGGAAAGGAATTATAAGGAAATAATTTCAGTATTTACTTCATACTGAGAAAAGTACAGAGCGTTGGAACCTGTAAGTCACTGAATGTCTTTTCACTGCCTTTTGTTGACCATTGTGGCTGTACTCCAGTCTGACTCTAACACAAGGCACATCAAGTCACTCAAACACTGTGTTAATTTTTTCCAAACACGACTCACCATTTCTACTATTCAATGGTGCTGTGAGCGAAGTACAATACTTCATAAAATTGCATACGGACGAACAATGTTTGAATGTAGTTTTGAGACACCTTCCTTATTATATCTTTCGTTTGTTTATTCGGACGTACAAGGTTAAACTTTGTGATGCTATTTTGATTAATACAAGAAGCTAGGATGAGGTATTTTGTGCATTGGTTTGACTTCTTTGGTTTAAGTCTTTAATGTAGTATAATTATATCTCTCAACAATGTAACTCTAACTTGTGCAAATTCAATACATTTGTGTCCTGCCCTCTAATTGCTTCTGAAAATTTTGATCAGTCTTAACAATACAAACTTCCAGATTTTAGAAGAAGTAAACAAAAATATTTAGACACTTCAAATGCTATTGAAAAAAACTGATTATTCACAGAAGTCACTGAAATAAATTCATGTTATGTATGAAAAAGAGAACAAAATAACATTGAAAAAAATTAAGATCAATTATTGAAACTCAAAGCTAGTTTTATCCACACACTAATTTCTTTTATTGCTTAAAAGAAAATTAAAAGAAAACTTTTATAAATCAGAGGATCAGGACAACATGCCAGCACCTTACGAAACTTCACAAGGGCAAACGCAAACTAGAAAGAGGCTCAAAGAGGATGCCTGTCTTTGTTTAAACAGTTGGTGATGTTAAAACTTGAATTAATTTTTAAAATCTATGTAAAGAAGACATTCATATTTCATGAAAGTAAGGATTTTAAGGAGAAAATGCAGAGCAGTCATTTTTAAATTAAGCATTCTGTAAATCACATTCACTATTTAATATTGAAAATAATTTCATGTTTATATTTGTGTCAGTAATGTTTAATTTTGTAAGTAGTATATGAAGTTTAAATTTTAAGACCAGTAAAGAAATTGATAAATAAATAGATTTTGATTGTATTATTAAAATAGAGAAGAACTTTGTCATGTCCAGTGTTGTTTTGTCTGTTCATTTGCTATTTTTTCCATTGTTCTCTTCTTGATTGTTCATCTGAATGAAAAGGATAAATTTTGAACCACCTTTATGTTTGGTCTAGAATTATGAATTGGGAATATTGGAAAAAGGACAGTTTTATTTTGTAGAAATGTAAGCATATATGAAAAAAAATTCAATTTAGATTTCAGGAAATACAAAGAAAGCAAGAGGCCATCACAGGATGCACTGATTATAAAATATTTTGGATTTATCTCTATTTTCATTTTTCAATATTTACTATAACAGTGACACACCTATGCATTTTTCTCTAATGAAAAGCATCATGTACCTTGTTATGCACTCAAATGGAAGTTCTATAATAGGGATTCAAAGCAAACAAGTATTTTTTAGAAGCCACTTTCTAGTTTGACAAGCTATATTTTATAGTTATTATATATGTAAATATTTTAACAGAGCAATATGCCTCCGCATCTCTTACATACAACATCAACACACATTCACATTGAAACATCCAACTGAGAGGAGAGTATGTCCCGTATTTAATTTGAGGGCATCCAAGTTAGCATATGAAAGAGGGCATTTAATATATTCATTCTATCTAGCAAAAATTCCATTCTTGTTGGCAATATGATACAACAATTGAATTGATTGAAGACTTTATGAAATACATTTGATTTCAATAATCCAGACAGATTGGTGTGAAGAGTTTAGTAGGATTTGGCAATAAACATTGCCTTTCAAGATGAATACTGTATATACAAGGATAATTGGTACTTGGTAGTGTATCTTTGTATACTGATATTAATGAGCACAGATCATTATTGACATCAGTGTTTCTATTTTGTTGAATTTTTTGAGTGAACAATAATGAACCTAGTGTTGGTTCTAAAATAATAAACAATAGTAAATGCATAATTTAACATACAAGACAATTTCCATAGGAAATAATTAAATTTTCTCTGACTAGAATGCTTTTTTACTAAGATTTTGTTGTTAATATTTTCCATATAAATTATTAAACATAATATTTTATTTTCCTCACTGAACTATGAAATAAGTATGTACAAATTCCATTATAGTAATATACCAAACATAAACAAAACCTACCTAATGAGAAATAGATCTTCAATTTGTGTTTTCTGCTAGTAAAACACTTTCATTACCATTCTTAGTAATTATCTTCAATTTTCAATTAATATCTGATGTTGCTAACAAATTGTTCCACTACATTACTCTTCTTCTTCAGTGGTGGTCGTATGGACATCGTCTTCCATGCCTACACCACCATCCTCGTCGTCGGCATCTTCTTCTTTCACTTCATCACTTCCTTCTTCATCAGCTTCTCGGCCTGCTTCCTTCCTTGAATCCTCGGTTGTGGTGGACGAAGTGGGCGTCTGGACTTGCTGCTGCGAAAGCTGCTGGGGAGAGACTGCTCCACTGCTGCTGCCTCCGTCGTCCATCATATCAGACAACAAAGCTGCTGTACCACCTTTTCTCAAGGTCCCCGTGCGCTGGGGAGGCAAAGGTTGTTTCACCTCAGACTCTGGTGAGGGCGACGGTGAAGATTCTTCACTTGTTGGAGAGTCGGGAGATGATACCACTACTACTTGCTGTTGAGGACCTACTGGAAGAGAGCCCTCGGGGGTCTTCCGCCCTCTCGAGGCTGTACCCCGACCCCCACGCCCGAGAGACCACAGAGGCGCGCCCGGAGCTGTACAAGTGACTGGAGGCGCTTTCAGCGCGGGAGGCAGGCGCGATGGCAGTAGAGGCGGCTGCTGAGAGGACGCCAACAGGTGGGGGGAAGGTGCAAAGACCTCCCGAACTGTCTGTGGAAAGAAGTACTGATGGTTCTGGGTCGCTCACATACTTTAATTTCTAGTCTTAAGCTAAATTAAATTTATTAATTTTAAAGTAAGGATTATATCACAATTACAAGCCCTATGTATTTAAGGTAAGTTTTGTTATCAATATTCCTTCAAGATCCTTGAAAATAAGTTTCTGAATTTACATATGGTGTGTGCAGTCTTTTACTTTGTTAGCTTCTGAGAGATGCTATATATGCTAAATAAAGCAGGATTGAAAGGTTTAAGGAGAATGAGGAAAACACCTCATCATCCACCTACCCAGATGCACTTTTTTTCTCAAGGGAATTGAGTTTCTATAGTTAAAATTATTTTATTAAAATATCAGTAAGTACAACAAATTCTTGACCACTTTACCTGACTTATTCGGCCAAATTTCCAGCAAATAACGCAATACATTTATTGGCTGGTTAAAATCTAGATGTTTTCCCTCTTCAGATTGTAACATTAATACTGGACCAAAACATATTGCCAAATTCTGGGGTGACATCTTGTTGCGCTCTGATTGTGACACTACTAGTGCTAAGTGGTCCATTAAGAAAATAAGTGTACACTGCAATACAAAATATAATAAAAAATATATTTATTAATGCAAAAATACTTACACTATTTCTGAATAATCAGGCATACATTCACACAAATAGAAGATTAACTCTACTTGCTCATGACAAATCATTAATGAAGATATTTTCTTCAATTAAACAGAAAGTGTCTTTGGCATCATTTAATGTTCATTTTCAATAATTTTACTTACCCTATTAACTTTGGGTAAACAGTCAAGAATAGAAAACATTAGTTTTGCATTTCCTTCAGGATCATCCGGTAGACAAACACTTAAAGCATCAACCATCATTTGGTAAAGACATTTTGTAAACAAAGGCTCTGGAAGTTCTCGTAAATAATCTTTAAGAACTCCTGAAATCAAGAAATTTGTCATGGTTAACAATTGTAAAGATTGTATTTTGTGTTATAAAGTAATATGAAACTTTTAAATAACTTCGCTTTCCGAATGATGCCATGTTGCAGGCTGAGAGACCGATGTTTCACCTATCATGCTGCAGAGTTTGTAAGGGCAAGGACTCCTCCTGAGGAAGCTTGCATCATGACAGACAAAATGTCAGTCTCTCAGCCTGCGATGAGGCATCACATGGCCAGCAAAGAAGACATGGACTTGAGCCATGGAAGCTTTCATTTACGCATGCAACATTTAACACTGACATACCTGTTATTACATTAATATCGGGAACATTATCAGGAGACAAATCAACAGTGCGAGCATTTCGTTCAAAAGCTTCACGAAGAATTCTCTTCTTTGTAGCAGAACCACACAATCTGTATAAACCTGAAGTAAGAATAATAAATAGTTCAGTGTGCTGATGTTTTTCAATTTGGAAAAATAAATTTCATTTTGAGCTTTCTGAAGGGTCATGGGAATAGTACATAATTGTTTGGATGAATAAAATCTGGCATTTAAACAAAAATCACGTACAATTTTCTATTTTATTTCCATGTATTTTTCAAATATAATATAGTATTTTTTGTGATATAAATTAGTTTATTACAGAAAAAAGATAAAATTCTGAAAACCCTTGATATAATATTCATAGTTGGAATGCCTTGAGAGTCATTCACGTTACAGTACGTCATTACAGTACACATTACAGTACATCAAAGAGTAAAATGATAAGTTTTGCAAAACATCATAAAAATTAAATGAAATATCAGGAACACATCAAAACTGATTTCACTGTATCATAAATTGCCATTAAATTCTTCTATTTATAGTTAATTTATTCTGAAATTAATAACTTTTGAATTTGGAGAATATTAACCTCTAGGAAACAGTAATTGATTTTAAAGTTCCTTTGATTCCTTTTTTTCTGTTTAATAATTAATATTCAACATGAAATAAATTTTTGAAATTCAATTATTATCAATATTACAAAAAATTAAGCAAGTGATTCTCTGTCCCATGAAAATCATTTGAAGATCATCAAGCAACTCATATTAAGTACAGAAAGAAGGAAAGAAACACCTTCAGGTAGCACAACAATAATTAAACAATTACATTTAACAAACCATTAAAAATATCGATGAACCATTTTCTGATTCAAATAAAAAAACAAATTTTTTGACTTTCTGTTTGAAATTATCAAATATATTTGCAGATTAAGTTTTTAAAATTTGTTCACATTTCAACTTTTAAAACTAAGTGGTGCTACAGCAGCACATTCTTTCTCAAATTTTTGGTATGATTTACATAATATATTCTACTAACACATCAATCATAGCTTAAAGAACTCAACTCCTAACCAAAGTTCCAGAGATTTAAAAAAAAATGTCTTTAATTTATTGATAATGCAAGCTTAAGTTAAAATTTCTACTACCCATTGAATTGAGTATGTTATGCACTATTTTAACAAAAAAATTTAGATGAGAAAAATAATAAAAAACTCAGACTGAGATTCAAATCCCTGTAGTGAGAAGCGTGTGTTTCAATTCAAAGTTACCTGTTATCTAGCATTTTCAAAAAAGTGTGCATGAAATGATTTGGGAATCTAAACAAAATGGAAAATAAACAATATACATTGTCATCATTTCAAACTTTATGAATGAAAGGATTGTCCCATACATAATCAAACCACTCACACACTTATATAATCATTTACTAAAGCACGGCTTCTTTCCAAGCATATTCAAAACTGCAGGCATTAACCTATCCTCAAAAAAGCTACCAAAAACAAGATGTCATAAATTATAGACCAATATCACTGCTATAAGGATTTTCAAAAATATTAGAAAAATTGTTCTACAAATTATTGAAAAGTTACCTGAAAATTATTGAAAATAAATGCAATATTATCATCATTCAACATGAGTTGAAGGAAAATTGATCAACTGAAATAGCCTTATTTACTTTTATAAATTAAATCTTCTGGCATTAGATCAAAAAGAAATACCCATAAACCTTGGACCCAATAGATCACAGGATTGTGTTGCCAAACTTGAATCTTACAGAATTCAAAGAATTATACAGGGAGGTCATATGATAACTATCAGATGGGAAATAAATAATTGTGTTACCTTTCCAAAAAGGCAACAAAATAAAATATCATAATTTCACCCCAAGAGTGACTTACGGTATTACACATTACGCCTATTCTATTTCTTATATTTGTGAATGATGTCACTACAATAATGGAAAACATTAAAAGTGTTACTTGCTGATGACAGTAATACAATATTCAAACAGAAACCAATTGTAGCCCTACAAAACAGTCACTGGCAGTGATTCAATAGATCCACCATAACAGACAAACAAATGTCAATAAACACAGACAAAATGATCACAATAGTGTTTCACAACTTCTACTCAACCAAACAATATTCATCAAATCTTACACTAGAATGCAGCAAGTACAGAAAACAAAATTTCTTGGAGTTGCCACACAATCCATTTGAAGGAAAGTGAAAATCAGCTTGGGCAGTTCAGGGCATCAACTAATGTTACTGAAGTGCCTCTGACTGGGTGGTCCTAAGGTTCAATTCCCAATGATGGTAAGATTTTCAGCACTAGCTACAAATCAAGGTCAAATTCAGATGCTGTCTGGTAGAGAATTCTAGAAGCCAGCTGAATCAATTGTTTTCTGTGGTTATGCTGATCAACAACAGGCAAATGCTGGAGCAGAACCCTAAAATATAGGCCATGGACCATGCACAATATTTCCTTCCACTCCCTTGTTCTATCTTCATCACTTATTTACATACCCTTGCACTTACCCTTAAATGCATTACACTACTACAAACATTTGGAGTTCAGTCGGAAGCTTGGACCTTGTTCTGGCTGGGGTGGTGGGATAAACTGATTGGGAAAATTCCACAGGATGATGAGATGGTCATCGCCAGTTCTCACCATAAAACAGGGGAAGATCACTGCCATCTCCCAGAGCAAAAACATGTATGACATTATGGGACTAATGACCACAGCAGTTGACATACCTGGAAATACTTATCAATCATTGAAACTCACATCTTGAACTAACTTCAAATTGAGCAAAATCAATTATGCTCTTAGAATAATAACAAGGATCCAGACCATTGAAACAGTCTGAACAATGTACATCAGTACACTCAAATGTTCACTAAATCCTCAAGTAATAATCTGGCGCTAAGCAAACCTTTAAAATACCAGAGAATCATCTCGACAATAACAAACACAAAAAGATCATATTTCTGGAGGTCCCAATTCAAAAATCTTCACTGCCTTGTCAATTTATCTTATACAAGACAAACCTATAATCTTTCTATGTATAAGTAGGTCTAAGCTAACTTAATAACAGAAAAGTGCTTACTCCATGGGAATATAATTCTTCAACAAATTATGAAAACATCTGAGAGACATTACAGCATTACTTAGCTTTAAAAATAAATGAAAATACTTCTTCCAGCAGAAACTTTTCTATAGTATTTGGGAATTTTCCAGTGTCTAACATGTACAATTTTGTAATAGGTTCTGCGTAGGACTTAGTCTAAGCTAGAAGTAGAAAACCTGGCCAAATTCTTTCTTCTGAGACTGTCTGGGTATGCATCCTTATGATGAACCTCGTCATTTATCAGAAATTTGGCAAAGAGTCTTTTTATTACTGTTGTGATTTTTGACAATAGAATTCCCTTAACTGTAGGCCTACTTCTGGAATTATTTTATATTATTATTATTTTGCCTTTTTATGCTTATATTAGGTTCTTATATCTATTTTGAATATTTTACCTAATTTTGAATTTTTTCTTCCTTTTCCTTCTTTGTTTCCCTTTTTTGTCCTGGCACTGAAATCGATCAAGCTGAAACTATATTTGCAAGCCTAGACAACATTAAGGCACTATTGCATTTTGTCTTTCTCTGGAAGTATAGGCATAATATGAGAATAATATAATACAAGAAGTGTTATACTTGGGCCCCAAGACCAGGAAATGTTAATAATCACTACAAGAAAGCAAAATGATATCAGTAACACGTTTTGGATTTCTTTCATTTATGCTGATAGGTTTTGTTTGCTCACAAGGAACTCCATCCTACATTTGAGTATGACCTCAATTCTCTTTTAAGTCCAGTGGTCCTTCTCAATATTGGCAATTACACAAGATTAAACAACCAAAACAATAATAGTGTTTTCACTGATGCCATTTGAGGATTCAGAAGAGAGTCCACTGAAGCATTTTGAAGAAACAGGGTGAGTGTTAGTAACAATGCCAGTCATTGTAAAGAAACAATGTGTGAAACATATTCATAGTCATCATACTGATATTTAGTGAGCTTCTAAAAACAACATGAATATTATTATTATGATGAGGACACTTTTGTTAAAGTTACTTATAATACAAAACTTATAAAATGATGGAATTCTGAATTGTAGTTTGGATTGCCTTACAAGCATTGTTGAAAATAATACTCGTGGTGACTTTTGCATAATGACATGATTCATGTACAGACAGGATCATGGAAACAACTGTAAAATGACTGAAACTAATGACTTAACCTATATTTAGAATTTCGGTAACCATATATAACATGCAATGGATCACTTATTCAGTTTCACGAATCTGCAAAGATACTGTTGTGCTTTTCCGATCAACTTTTGATAATATATCCCTGTCTCTCAGACTATTGCTGCTGCACCTGCAACTTCCCTCCATTACATTTGAGCATGTTTGTGCAGTATTCTGAATGCAAATGTTTGAGTAAGGAACATGTCTAAACAAAGATTGCTTATGGTCAAAGAAAAGGCCATGCTTAATGTTAACATCATTTTGCCATTTTGAGTGTTTTTCATGTTAAGTATTTATACCAATTCAAATATTTAATACAAAATTTTAAATCATATTTATGATTGAACTCGGTATCATGTATTGTACCACTTTCATATTTCCCTTCTTCAGAATTGAAAATTCAAAACAAAACTTCTTGAATAAAAATTATATACAATACTTTTATTGTTTTTGCCCTTGAATCTTAAAGTTGCTTATACTACCAGCTGAAACAGTCAAAATAAAATTCTCTCTTGAAGGTCATTATAAATGATTTCAACTGTATTTCACTTCAAATTATTATGCAGAGATAATTCCTATTTCCAAAAAAGTTGGCAGTTAGATGTTTTGCCATTGAGAAAACGATTTTTTGGTATTGAGGACCCCATAATTGTGGATTCTGACAATATTTTCTATTTGAGAAATAAATTTACTACATGAAGCAGCAAGAAAAATTCACTTATTAAGTATCAGGGATCTACAAAACAAGATTTCGGTTGAAAAATCTGCATTTTTCCTTGTAGCATCACAATACTTTCTCTGCATAGTTAAAAAAAAAAATCTCCTGATATCTTGAAGTTACAGATATTCCAAACCATAGCAATTATGAGAGTAAAGTAGCAGCCTTTGCAGGAGCAATGCTAATCTGGAGATGTACAAGCCCTTAAAATGTATTTATATGTGTGTAGGTCAAAAAAGTTGATGAATACGACAAATGAGATACATGAAAATGCCAATTCATGTATCTCCCTTTAGCCAGTCCTAGTCTTAGACCTTTACCCAGTCCTAGGGAAGGAGAAAATATCAAGCATATATCCACCTGAAAGGGGGATTTGAAGAAAATGTGACAAAAGTTCCAAAACTGGGAAGCAAAACTTTACAATCTGTTTTGTTTCTAAAAGAAAATGTTTTAACAAAAGAATTGCAAGCTAGATTTGACAAAATGTTCAAAACAATGTTGAAATGCTTTTTGTGAACACTTGTTTTTCCTGTTGCAGCAGGTATAGGGGCAGGGCCAAGGAGTAGTTTGTTATTTGCTCAACAATACTAAAATATCAAATCTGTAGTTCCTTTATTAAAACAAATAAGTTCTTTATTACCTGGAAGTGAAAAATTCTAGTGTTCAAACATTTCCAAACTTGATTTTGGTTCCTTTATTCATAATTCAACTACGTAAAAGAGTAACTTTTTTAAAACTTTAAGGAATTCTAGTACAGATAATACGTCTCCCTCACAAACAACTTTGACTGTTTTTTGACAATATATAAAATAAAAAAATATATAATTGAAAATCATCATTTATCTTTCTAATTAAGAGAACTTCAATGCAAACAGACATAATATTCATTACTTCATACCTATGATATCAAGGCCTCTTCTTTCCACTTCTTCAACACACCTTCTCACAATAATGGGTACAGAGGAAGTAGCTTGAGTGGCGAGTGTCACACTCGTAGCAACTCCACCAGGGACACCACCTGTGAGACTCTCACGAGCCACGACAGTCTCAAGATCTGCACCGAACAGAAAGCCTGTTGTACCAGACAGAGCTTTACTGGATCGTCCCAAGAGAAGGCTTGTGGTTCCACGCCGTCTGAATGTTTGTAGTGGGTCAGTGTGGCGAAGTCGCAAATAGAGAGTTCCTCGAGGCTCTATTTTTAATGCTAGTTGGTGGATAGGTGATTCTCGTAACAAAGATGCTAAGTGCACTGAACCCTATAATGATTAAATACAAAGTTGAAGTATCTTTTTTAGAAAATTTTAAAATTAAAGATATAAAAATAGTTCCTACCTTATAGCAGAGTTTGTGCCGATACTGTGGATCCCAGGAATAGATAAGCAAATCAAGTTCACGGTTGTCAACAAGATCTAATTCAAATGTTTCATCCCAATCAAAAACAAGGTCTCCAGTTCTAACTACTGTTCGTGCTTTGTGTACACGATCACACTCCAGAACACAATATAAGTCTCTAAGCCCTGTACTTCCCATGCTCCCTGTAAATATATAAATACAAAATATATTATTATACATTCTCATATATAATTTATTCTATTAGACATATTCTATTTAGAAACATTCATTGTTTTCATCATATTGCCAAGAAGTTTAATGATAATAATAGCTTTTTATTTTATAATAGTATGTAATATTCAAATATAATGTTGAGCTTGCAAACAGTACTTAATTAGTATTTATTTGGCTGTCCGGGTGACGCCGCGTCCATGGCGAAGGTGCCGACATTTCGGTCACCATTCTGCGAAACGTCGTTACCTTCGCCATGGACGCGGCGTCACCCGGACAGCCAAGTAAATACCGACTCCGGCCGCGGAAGCCTATGCTCTCAGTATTTAATTACATTCACTGAATTCTTTTCTGTCCTCTCTTTATAAAATAAAACAAGAAGTCTGCTATTAACTACAAAAAAAAATAACACACACACAAGCTTCTTAAAAAGAAAGAAAATTCTTTTACAATACAGTAAAACCGGAACCTGTACAAGCCGGAAACCTTCCTTTACCGGAAACGTTCTCTGGCCCGTGAAGTTATATGGTATTTTACGTAGCATAAAACGGAGTCTGTCCAACGTGGAGACGGAACAGTTTTCCATGTACTATAGGGGGAAAATATAAAACGGAATTTCTGGAAATTTAACGCGATTGGCAGAGCCGTAAGATATTTTTAATGTACTGATTGCAATGACAAGTCTGTTTTAAATTCTCTATCCCACGCAATTTATTCGTGGCAACCGCACTGTGAAGGGGAGGAGTTTCAGCTGACAGCGTAGAATTCGACTTTGGGGCACTTGTCTCTCAAAGCGTAGGCCGTAGGGGAATTCGCTCTCCCCTCCTCTCTGGGCGTGAGTACCGCCATGACTTCTATTCGCGCCTCCCCCTGCCCCACTTCAAAATCGTAACTCCAGAGACGCAGAGCTCAAGGCGATGCGAGTGTATCAGAAAATCATAATACTCTGGACTATGACGCATTGTGCGTTAAAAGATTTATCAAGCAGTCCGATTTCAGCCATTAGGCATTGAGGTGTTTTTTAACGAGTTTCACAACCAATTTAACAATGCGAAAACCATTAAACTCTGACATTCTCCAACATTAGATGAAAAGGTTCAACTTATGGAAGCAAGAGAAACTCAGAAGCTGTCAATGAAGAACGTTTATAATTCATTTATTGGTTATTTCTTCCATAAATACGTTGTATGTACATCTATTTTAATAATCGTAATAAAATCATGTATATCATAATAAAATCATGTATTTTTTACCGTACTTTAATTACTTATTTACTTGCATTAATTTCCTAGTTTCAGAACGTAAATATCAATATCACAACTGTCGTAGTAGACAACTGCATAAAACGGAAACCTCCCTAAACCGTAACTTTTTTTGACCCGATCGATTCCGGCTTAGATTTTACTGTATCAGATTAATGTGATGATCTAATAAATCACACCTTAGACGTCATTTAATTCATTAATTAATTCCCAAGATGTAAAGTGTATGGGTCTTATAATTATTTTGTGCCAAAATACATTTGAGAATAAAATTAAAATTCATCATAGGATTGTTGAGGGTGTGAATTTGTCATGAGAATCAAGAAAATTGTTCCAAACTATTTTTCTCTTCCTCTTCTTCTTCCTACTTTAATATCCTACCTAAGGGTGGTCCCGAAGGTGTGGAAGGAGTGGTAGCTGCGGAGGATGACGTGGTGGCGCGAAGTCCGCGTCCTGCTAGGAGGTGCACCCAAAGCAGACCACTTACACCTGGCTCCACGGCTGATCCTGGTTCAGTGATTGAGCCAGCAGGTTTATCCATTTTATATTTCAGGAACTCTGAAATTACAGTTATTTTGTGTTCATTTTGATTCAATGCACACTATCAAGAAGTATGACATCACATTTGAATTTGACATCCACCTGCAGGATTAATGTCAAGCAAGCGAGAGCGAGGATCTTGTGTGCGTGTAGGTGAAGGATTTGGGATGTGACGTGATTCCAGATCCAGAAGATGGCGCATGCGACGCATGGATGTGGCCCGACTCGTAGTTGCACTGCCGCTAAGCCCGCCAGTGACTGATCCTGATCGATATTGATGTCTGTCCAACGTGCCTGTGAGATGTGGCCGATACGAATAGTACGGCTTTTCCTGGTGAGTTAATAGCAAATTACAAATTATACTTTGCTTTGTTTTAGGAACACTGCTTCTACGCAATACTCAGATCCACTATAAGCGTTATTAACAGTATGCTTGTGCATTCATTTTAAAACAGGATGTGTTGCGATCAGACAATCTGCCAACTTGCTAAATTTATTCAAGTGCTGCAAATTCATTCAGGATTCACAGCAATGCAATTATGTGAGATGAAAAATTATAAAAATACATGCATAAGATCATTTAAAAGTGTGTACTATATCAACCAACCAATTGCAAATTCAAAAGAGAAATTTCATGGAGTTTTCTGTCAACACAGTTAAAAATTTATTTCGTGAATACTCATTGTTTTTGTGTCACATCCTGGCCACTATTAAATAGTGCACCATCACAAGACATTTTAAGCAGAAGCATAAAATATGTTTCTTTATACCCTTGAGCCCACATCTCGAGCACGTTCCAGCAGATTTTCAGCACTGTATGTAAACCTCTGTGCTCGTTGAGTCTGCAGAGCATCACGACTTGCTCTGATCCTCTCATATATAGCACTTGTGGAAGGTGTGCGTTGCAGCCAAGCTCGATATTCATCAGCTGTGAAGACGCTTGGTGAGGACGGGATGCGACCTGTGGTATAACAACATTTAAAACTAAATATTTTCCTTGAGAGAAGCCTCTGATTGCATTTATTGTTATAATAATTCCAGGGAAGGCAGTGGCCTTAGGTTGACACTCTTTCTCACTTTCATGAGATGTTTTTGATACTGTTCTTTATGACCTATTTGATAAAATGAATAGACAAAGGGGTAATAATGAATAAGAACAATATGAAATGTGATTGGATGAAGAATGAGAATGAGGCTGTGTCTTGTATTAATGTGTGGTAAGTGTCAAGGAGCACAGTAACACTTATTTAAAGACACATAATATTCACATGTTTTACAAACAATGATTTGCAAAATAAGAGAAAAGAGATATGCAGGGTTTGTTTTATAATTTTAACAATTGTGACATCAAGAAGAAATAGTATGGTTCCTATTTCTTTTTCAAAAAAATATTTGTTGGCATTTTATAAGAGAAGAATATTAAATTCAAGTTCAATGTTATTTTCCACGTACATTGAATTTGTTCTCTCATATATAAAAAAGTAAGAAAAAATAGAAGTGCAAAAATTTAGAAATTTGAATGAAATGTAAAGGCTTTTAAAAAACAATATTAATTCATTGAGTGTCAATTCACAAAGGGAATAATATTACTCGTGCAATTAACTGACTTCATGCTAATATCTTAAACTACAAAAAAAGTCCACCCACTTAAGACTGCAAAAAGCAAATCTGTAGAATACATGTTTGAGGACAAACATGTTTTAATGAAGCAACATATTTGAATGTAAATATTTTTCTCTAATTATTGTTTTGATGTACATAGGTAACTGAATAGAACTTTTTAAATGAAATTTGTATTAGTGGACTATTTATGTAGTTTGAAGAAACATTGTGCTACTTATTATAAAATTAATGTACATATACCTGAGGTTGAACCAAGTGCAGCTGGGACATCAGTGCAAGGACTCCAAGCATAGTGTAAAGAAACAAGTTAAATTCTTGCACATGTTGACTGGCATTGTTTTTGATACATAAGATCAAAACAAATAATTTCTATTAACATGAACGTGTATACGAAAAAACTTCCATTAATGGTACAAAGCCATTGATAAATAACTTTTTGAATATGTTTTATTTTCAATGTATAATAGATTTTTAAAGTTACAAAAATCCTTTAAAATGGTATTGCCCTCGACAAATGATTTGTTATTTATATAGAATTTCCTCATATTGTTATAATTCACATTTCAAAGCCAAACCCCACAAAAATATCAATAACTAATAAAATGTTATTTATATAATTATTAAAAATAATGTAAGAAATGTTTACACAGTTTAAATACGGAGAAAATATTTTGTAAGTGAAATGAGTTCACCAATGTTGACGTGGATGGCCAAGGTGGGAAGTGTTTGCCGACTCGGCGCCTAGGTCGCGGGTTCAAGTCCCGCCACGGGCATAGTTGTTTGCCCCTTGACTTTCATGTATGTGTGTTGTCGCGCCCGCAAGTGTGTCAGTGTCTCGTGTAAATGTTAATATGTGACCGCATGAGGGACATAATGGATACCCGACGCGGATAGTCAAAAATCAGCATTCCTTGGAGCTGGAAAAAAGCTTCTGGAAGAATGGATAAAATGAGTTAACCAATATAAACTAAAGATGCTTCATTATGGAATGAAGTTACTGTTTTACCACTTCCAAAATCAAAGAAAGCTAGTGGGGAGAGGCAGGGTCAAATATGTCATTGAAGTTTGCAGAATACGTTACTGCTCTTATATATTCATTTTTATTTGAATGTCACAGAAGTGTTTACATCGTGATGGCTGAATGGATCTTCGCCGACTTTCAAAAACTCATAAATCTCAATTAAAAGCAGGCGCAGCCCCCCCCCCCACTTCTCCGCTGCACACTAATAGCAGTTGTCGAACATTTACGAAGCCCTTTATTTCGTCTAACGCTTGGAGGACCTCAAACCGGAAGCACCAACTGTCGAAACCCGGTGTTTCTTGAAAGACGCAAGAACGCGGGGGCGGAAAGGGACAGAAAGGAGTGGTGCCAGAACGGGAAACGCGGTGACGAGCGTGGAATGAGAGCCTTACTGAGGGGAAGAAACCCACTTAAACAAATTGTCTACAGAATCGTTTGTGTGTCTGTGCTTCATCATTTGCCACACTTAATATCCATCACAGGCGGATCCCGCTGATACTTTTGGAGAGGAGCGGGCATCATAGATTTTTTGTTAATTAATATATTATATAGCGGGCATCATATATTTTTTTGTTAATGAATTTATTATAATATATATATATATAATAATTAATTTAACGCTTAATATATATATAATTATATATATAATTATAATTACAAAAATCTTATTGATGCCGGCCGAATACACACAAATAACTTTAGGCCTCCTTGGGGACGGGCATGGCCCCATGCCCTCCCCTCGATCGCCAGTGATACCCATGTTAAGGGTGCTCTTTCCCGGCGACCCTGTATCGAGCCGAGCGGCGCGTGTGCTTGTTTCTTTACACATGGTGCAGCGGGGTCGTGCTGGGCAGGCGGTCGCGGGCGTGGCATAACTTAACTCCCTCTCGCCGGCGCTGGACGGGCGCTCGTGGCAGCGGAGACGCGCCGGTCGCTGGTCTTCCTGTCGTCGGCAGCGCGGGCGGCCACGCGGGCCCCACGCCCGTCCCTGCGCCCGGCCCGCGCCGTCGGCCTCGCGCCTCGAAGCGCCACGTGGTGCGCGCGGCCTTGCTGGCTGCGCCTGCGGTGTCTCTGCGACCACCACGCACAGGGGCGGGTGCGTCAAGGCGGTGACACTCTGCACTCCGCTCCGGGCAGGGGCTGAGCCGCGCGACAGGGAGAGGGCGCATAGCAGTGAAAGGAAGAGATGGCAGAGAGATTGCTGGTTGAAAAGGGAGAGGGAGAAAGAAGCGAGAGAGAGGGAGAAAGAAGCGAGAGAGGAAAAACAATGAGATAGAGGGAAATGAGATAGTAATAATAGATAGATACGATGATAGATAGAGAGATGGATAGAAGAGGAGAGAAAGAGAGAGGGGACAGGAAGACAAGATGAGTGTGAGAGGAAAAGAAAGGCAGATTGAGAGATAGAGAAGGCGAGAGAAGAGAGAGAGAGAAGAGAGAGAGAGAGAAGAAGGAAAGAAGGGAAAAGAGAGAGAGAGAAGAGAGGAGAGAGAGAGAGGAGAGAGAAAGAGAGAAAAAAGAGAGAGAAGAAGAGAGAGAAGGAGAGAGAAAGAGGAGAGAGAGAAGAAGAAGAGAGGAAGAGAGAGGAGAGAGAGAAAGACGAGAGAAGAGAAGAGAAGAGAGAGAAAGAGAGAGAGAGAGAGTAAATGGGGGCCTAGAGTGAGGGAAATAGGAAGACAGAGATTGCTGGATGGAAAAGAGAAATGAAGTTAAGACAGAGAAGGAAAGAGGAAGACACATTGATAACTAAACAAAGTGAATATGAAAATGAGTTCGGATGAGACATAAAAGTATCATAGAAATATAATTCTAAATTTTACCTTACTCAACTCTGAATATAACTATTGCTTTGCCACAGTTATCACATTATTCAAATTGATAATGAATGTTTCATGTTGCTGTGATTTATTGTCGGCACGTCTTGCTTCTTCAATATGGAAATGATTTTATGCTCGTTACTTCACTCGTATCTCTCGTTTCTTCCTGGGTTTGATTTTAATGGTTAGAGGAAGTAATTTACTACTTATAAAGAACGAGCTTTATCTACTTTTTATTACCTGGGCTCGGAATTGAGTTTTCTGTCGAAAAATCTCCGTTACTTGGCGACGATTATAATACTTTCTCCTTCTTACGAAGTAAGGACAGAAGTAAAGATGTAATACTCCTTGTGCAACATTCTCGATCATTCAAAAGCGAAAAATTAAAACCAAAGATCAAACTAAAGACCGATTCAGTTCAAGAATTAATATTTGAGCACATCCACTCGACTTTTGAAAATAATTGAAGCGAGGTCGGCAGGAGGGGGGAAAATTTGATACGAGGCAAAAATATGGAAACGAATGGAGGGGAAGTGGGTAAAAAACGTAAGAGCAGCTGAAGAGGACATGTAGACGCTTGCGAAGAGAAGGCTGCAAATAAGTGAGATGGAGGCAGAGGGAAGTAAAAGAATAGGCCACGGAGAGGCAAGAGATGCAAGAGGATTGAGGGTAGGATGCAGAGAAGGAAGGCAGAGAAGGCGATAGAGAGCAGGGAGAAGGAGTCTAAGGCTGAAGAAAGGTACTAAGTAGGGACAGGCAGACGCGGACAGGAGCTGAAGCAAAGCTGGAGAAAGACGAAGGCGCGGGTGGCGGTGCAGGAACGAAATAGAAGAGGAGGAGGAGCGTGGAAAGGAGTGAGATGGATGCGGTGAGAGAATAGAGGTGCAGCATAGAATATCAAAGAAGGCGAGGGACAAACGAGAGAGGTGAAGCGACTGGGGCAACAGGGAAAGTGAAAGGCGAGGGAAAGATCGACAAAAAGCAAGTTGGAGTACAGATTATGCGAAAGAGAGGAAGATAGACTTGATCACGAGCGTAACGGTTTAAGTGTTTGGTTACATAAGTGTAGTTTTATCGGCAGGAAGATTGGCGGTAAATCTCTGCTGCGCTGTCGAGAACCGTGCGGGGACTTTCCCAACAGGTTGTCCTCTCACCACAGCGTCCGGCCCACCAGGGCACAAGCTCTAAGTTGTTGCAGGTATTACAGTGCCGCAGCGTGAGTTGGCAGAAGCGGCGGGCGGCTCACCTGGGCACGAGCTTTGAAGCGCACCGGCTGCCGGGCGCGCCCGCGCGGCGCCGATGTGCGGCGCGCGGGCATCCGAGTGCGTGGGGCGTGCGCGTATGGCGGCGGGCGAGCCGCCGCTGCCGCCGCCGCGGCCCCGCCGGCGCCGACGTGCGTGTGTGGTAGTAAGTAGTAGCTGGCGCGGGGCGATGACGCGCACGTGGACGCGCACGTGGCCTCCGTGTCGGAGGCGTAGTCGAGCGAGGGCGGTGCGCG